ATTGGGGGGGAGGGTTGATTTTCTTTTCCAACCTTCTGCAAGGTGAAGATACTCTCCTGTTCTCCCCGCCTCCCTTCTGGTCACCCAACACCTTATGCCCTTCCCGTCCCTCAAACCTTTCTCCCTCATCTTTCACATCCCAGTCTGGTCTCCCAGAGGAGGGGAAAGAGGAGACCTAGGACTTTAATTACAAACTGGTCAGAACTTGGGTCCAACGCTTGGGTGCGCTCAGAAGGGGTGAGGGTGCCTGGGATTTGATTTGTCCCCCTAAGAGAGACCAGGGCTGGCTCTGAGCTTGGATCCAAGTGTGAGTTTCCATCCCAGCTGGCTCCCTTCTGCAGGGGCAAAACGCAGCCCGGATGCAGGGCTCAGGGCTGCTCCGGGGATGGGTCACTGTTATTGCCACACCCCAGGCAACCTCATCCGGCGAAACGGTGCTTAACTGGCTTGGGCCAGTGTGGTCTAGGCTCCAAACCCTGTGCCAGCCTCTGCCTCTTTCTCCCCCACGCACATTCCCATGGCGCAGTGGACCAGAGAAAACATTCCAAGCAAGGCGTTCCTCCCCTAGCAGCTATTTGTCAGAGGATGGGAGGGTGTGAAGGACGACACAGATCTGTGGGTGGAGGGTGTCAGACGCTCCTCAGCAGCCTGGCCTCGCAGGTTTGCACTGGGTTTTAAAAGCCTGACTAATCCACCCACTCCCGTAAAAGGAGCATACAGCTCAGTGAGCCAAAACGGATCAACGCGGGGAGAAAGGAACCCAGTGTTTGGTCGCACTTCCCAACACAGCTCGGCCGCTCTCCCAATTGCATATGCACGTCTTATAGCGCGATGAGCAAACCCCAATGCCTCTTCTTGATCCAACAGACCGCCAGCGTCTACATTTCTCCCGGCCAGAGACTGTAGGAGGTCGGGGTCAGCAGAGAAATGAAGCCACGTGCACAACCTTCGGCTTTTACGCCAACGGCTCCCTGGAGGTGAACGTGAGCCGGCTGCACCTCAGCCCTGCCAGCGCCAAGCAGGAGAAGCTTTGGGTAAGGGCCGCCTCGGGCCTGCGGTCACATGGCCATCTGCGCTGAGCCGGGGGGAGCGCACACCTCCCCACCCTCCTGTGCTTCCCAGGAGGACTGTGGGTCTGAAAGGCACCGGGTCAGGGTGCTTCCCAGCTGTGCCATGTTCCCGCGATGAGCCTCGCGTTCTCACCAGCAGCAGCAGAGACGGCTGGGTGGGACTAAACTGCAGGTCTGAGACGCCTACTGGTCTAAGTTCGAATCCGGCAGAGGAAGAATGGCCCAGTCCCTAGTGGAGGATTTGGAGAATGGTTCTGTCCTCTGCCACTGACTCCCTGTGTGACCTCGGGCAAGTTCCCTAAATGGGGAATAGCGGCTCAGAGAGATGCTCTTTTTTTAAAAAAAAAGACATAAACACGTGAAATATTGTGAGACACTCGACCACAGCGTCTGAGGCCCTGTGTGGGGAGGTCATTTACGTACCGAAGATGAGCTCCCTGGCTGTAGCCTGTACCCTCAGCTGGGGCAGCGGGGTGAGGGCTATGTGTGACCAGGGGCAGGGGAAAAGGCAACTACTTGAATAAGAACCCGAAATGCAGCGAAGACGTACCTAGAAGCAGAGATCTCCCCCAGTAAGGGACTGTCCATAACATCCGGGACGTATTGTGGGGGTGGGCAGCTCTGTAAAAGGCTCCAGGCCCTGCCCTTTGCTGGGACCCAGAAGGGGGGCTCGGTTGTCACAGATGAACCGTTTCTCTTTGCAGGTCGGCTTCAGCTTGTCCAGGACCAGGCTTCGCGAGACTCTCTCCTACCCTGTGAGTCGCCGTTGTCTCTGCCCGGGCGAGCGAGGGTCGCGGGGGGTGGGTCGGGGAGTATCCTGTTCTGCATGGTCGGGGTGAGGGACAGTCAGCCAGATGCTGGGAATGTTTGCGTTGCTCTTGAGTGACCTGGCTGCTCCCTGGCTTCGCCGCCTAGCACCCAGGCCGGGTTCTCTAGGCACCGTTTCTCGGTGACCGGTCCGTGGACCGATGGCAGCAAACTGGTCTCAAAAAGGTAGAGAAACCCTGCTCCAGGGCCAGGCTGTTGCAAAGGAATCCGGAAGAGGGGGGTGTCTGGAATCTGCCATCAGTTACCTCTGGAAAGCCTGGCTCTAGGAGAAGTGAACATGAATCACTCCCTGAGCAAGGCAGCAGGGCCTAGTGAGTAGAACTCTGGACTGGAAGCTGGTAGGACCTCAGCCATTCCCTTGACTTGTTGTCATTCCCTCCCTCCCTTCTTCGCTGTGTCTTGGCTGTTTCGATTGTAAGCTCTCGGAGACAGGGACTGTCTCTTATTACGTACAGCACCTTGCGCAGCAGGGCTGCGATTTGGGGCCTGCTCTAATTCAATGGTGGTAACGAAGAGGGTTCATTTGCGGGTTTTCCTCTCTGCAGGGGAAGGAAACTCATAACTGCACCTTGGAACAAACCGGAGCCGAGTCCCGGATCCTCTTCCTCATCGATGCCAAAAATAACCAGCAAGTGACCTTCTGTCTGCGCTTACGTATCTTTCCCTGGGTGCCTCCTCTGGCCCCTGCCTAAATCCACTGGAGCCATTTGTGCCGGGGTGGGCAATCACTTTTGATGGGGGGGGGCCTCTCCAGGATTTTGTAGAGTGGTCGAGGGCCGCACTCTTCCAGGATGTAAATGGAGGAATTATGGAGGCTGGGTGCAGAAGGGAGCTTGGGGAAAGGGATTGGGGTGCAGGAGGGAGACTGGGGTCTGGGGGAGAGTTTGGGTGACGGAGGCGGTTGTGACTTAGGGCAGGGGACCGGGATATAGGAGTTTGGGTTGTAACCTAGGGTAGGAGGGGGTTGTGATCGGGGGCAGGAGATTGGGTGTCAGATCTGGGAGGGGGTAGAGGGTTTGGATAAGGGGCGGGCAGAAGGTTAGGGAAGGGAGGGTCTAGGGGTGCCAGAGGCAGGCTCTGGCTGGGAGGCGCTTACCAGCAGAAACCTGCGGCTCTGCTCTGGGCATGAGCGGGAAGGGGAGGGGTTTGAGGAGGGAGGAAGAAGGCTTCCCACAGTGCCAGCAAAAATTCTCAGCTCCTATTGGCCAGAAATGGAGCGATTGGCCAATGGGAGCGAAGAGATTTCTCTGGGGAGTGGGAACACATAAGAAGTCTCCCTCCTCCCACCCCAGCTATCCAGAACAGAGAACAGCTGGCTTTTTAAAGTGTTAGCATCCGGTGGCTTGGCAGGCCAGATTTGCCCCTCTGGCAGCCTCTTGCCCATCCCTGCATGAGTGGCACGTTAGCCTAGTACCTAGATCCGTCTGGGATCGGAGAAGCCCTTAGGACATACGCCAACAGCTCATGTTGTATTGGCTGGCACATGAGAGATGACTGGGATTAGACGGGGAATCGATAAGGGGATGTGACCGTTGGGGTATAAATTAACGAGCGAATGGCATACAGATCGCTCGGGCGCTCCTGTTGCCACAGGAACCTGCGCCGCGAAATGGAACAGGCAGCAGGTAAATCAATTGACACTTTTATTCTGAGCAACGCACCCACAGCCGTCTCCCAGGTGGGAGTAGAACCCAGGAGTCCTGGCTCCCAGTTAGAGGGAACCCAGGTTATAAGTTTTTCCATCCATGGGTGGAATCAGTTTTGTTCTGTGCTTGCTGCCGATTGTGGGTGCTCTGCTAATCAGATGGGTCACCCCTGAATCTGCCCAAGCGCTCAGCTTAAAGGGAACACTGGCTATAACCACTAGAGCCCACATCCCTAGGAACAGACCCCAAGAGTCCTGCCTCCCAAAGAGGCCTTCTCCTTCAGGCAGGCATGCTAGGGGAGCAGCCCTGGCATAGCTGATCCCACCCCCTCTCTCCACATCTGGGGCGTGAACCCGTCTCCGTTGCCTCGTGCTCCTGGTCCCAACGCTCGGTTCCGTCCTTTCAGGGTCCGGGTGCAGAAGCTGGGCGAGCAGAAGAAGCTGCAGATTTATCCCGGTTGGATCTCCGAGGCGCAGAATGGGGGCTCGGATCCGAAATCCGCCGATGGCGGCAAGGCCCAGGTTGCTGCCAGTGCAGGTGAGTGAGTCGGGGGCGCCTTACACGCTCAGGCCCTGCCGTCTCCTGCTTGACTGGAGCAGGCTTCTCTGCTGCGCAGGAGGAATCGTTTTCTCTCTGCTGAGACCTAGATCCCTGGGTGCTCCATCCATAATTCTGTGTGGGCATCCAGGGCTGCCTTTGTGCCCAGGATCTCAAAGCACTAGAGGGAAGGTAGCCAGGTTACAGCTGTAAGAGGACCCCACTGCTTGAAATGCAGCTAGCTCTGGGGTGGAACGTGGCAGCTCTTTAATAGCTGCCCTGCATTAGCGTCCATGTTTAGGACAGGAAGTTGTTTCTACTATCGTAGCTAATTGCAGGGAGGCAGGTCAGAGCTGGCCTAGCAGATGGCTGGAGTGACTGTCAAGTATCCCATAATATTGTGCTGTGTAATTTTAGTCCTGTGCCAGCCACAGCTGCGATGAAGGCCCTATTGTGCTGGGTGCTGCATAGACACACAGTCAGAGAGAGTCCCTGGCTTGGAGAGTCCAGTCTAAACAGCTGAGGGAAGGTTTTTGCCCCATTATGTCGATGGGGAAACTGAGGCACAGAGCTGGCGTGACTTGCCCACGGTTGCACAGAATGAATCCCGATCTCCTGGGTCACAGGCCAGCGCCTTAACCACGGAGCCTTCGCCTCCTGCCCGGCGCTGGCGTGGATGGAGGGGTTTATCTATTTGTTCGACGGGGGTCTCCCCTCCACCGCTAACCCGCCCCGACCCTGCGGAGCTCGTGGGATCGAGCAGCAGCTCAGCGCGAGGGACACCGTGGGGCAAACCGGCTTGCCTAAGGAGTCAGCTGGGGGTAGGGCGGTTTTGGGGGAGCAGCTAATGCAAGGGCCTGAAGGAGGTGGGGGGCAGGGGTGGGTCCCAGGCTGAGCTCCACCGTCAGAAGCTGGTTTTGGGCGCCTCGTCCGTGACAAAGGGGCGTGTTCGTTCTCCCAGGCACAGCACCCCAGCAGGCAACGCCTGGGAAAGGGCCTGAGGCGGACGGCGCCCAGAAGAAGACAGAGGGCGAAGTCAAGCAGGTAAATGCCCGTCCGGGACTGAGCTAGGGCGGTTCCCAGGCAGCTGCACCAGCTCTCCTGGCTTCGAGGGACCCAGCCGGGCCCTGCCACCTCCCGATGGCAGCGCCAGCCTCTGCAGAGCCCGGGGGGCTGGCTGCCGGCAGTGGGGCACACGGGCAGTGGCTGGCTGGGAAGCAGGAGGTGCCAGCGTGATGAGTAGCCCACAGGCCTGCAGCAGGGCTGGGCCGATGGCATGGCTGGAAACCAGGCACCGGGAGCCCCCTGGTACAGGCAAGGCCCCCTTGTCCCTCCTTGCCCAGGGACAGCAGGGACAGCTCTGTGCCCTGACGGACCTTTCTTGTGCAGCAGGATTCCAGCCACCGAGAGAAAGATCAGGCCCTGGATCTCGGGAGTGTGAATGGCTCCTACAACTTCAGCGTAAGTGTCGCCCGCTGGCCGGAGGAAGGGTCCTCCTGGAACAAGCCAAGGGGCCATCTGGCTCGTGTTCGTCCCCTGTGTCCGTCCTCCCCGCCCTTCCCCCATGCCAGCTCTGACCGGTGGGCCCCTCCGGCCTGGCACCTTCGCCCACACCAGCTCTGACCTTCTGGCCTGACCCCTCCCTCTGCCAGCTCTGACCGGTGGGCCTTTCTGGCGTGTCCCCTCTCCGTCTCCCCTCCCCCACGCCAGCTCTGACCTCCAGCCTGGCACCTCCTTCCAAGTCAGGTCAGGCTGGTCCAACTAGTCTGGTCTCTCTGCTCCTCTCCCGTCCCCGCCACGTCCGATCCGATAAGCGGCCTGGTCCAGTAGCTCCTGCCGCCTGCTGTGTGGGACAGGGCCTTTGGCGGGTATCCCCAGGAGTCTTTGGCGGGTATCCCCAGGCTAGGCGGGTATCCCCAGGAGTCTTACTGGGCCTGCAGTGGCAAATCCCTTCGGATGCTTCCTTCCCCCAGAGCAGGGAGATCCTCAGCCAATCTCCTTCAAGGAGGCGGGCTGGGGAGCTCCAATCAGAACCCCCCGGAGTAACTCGGGGCCTCTCCCCCTCTGCCCTTGCAGTTCCACGTCTTCATCAGCTCGGAGGCGGAAGGTCTGTACAACCTCAACTTTCACAACTGCCACAACAGAGCCCCAGGAAACCAGCTGCCTTACGACATCACTGTGAGTGTGCCGGCGGGAGGTAGCTCTGTGCTGCCGTCCCCCTCCCGTCCTCCCCCCCGCATCTGGAGACACATCGCCACGAGCTCTGTTCCCTGCGGCTCCCATTGGCTGGGAGTCGCAGTCAATGGGAGCACGGAGCCACCTCCTCCATGGGAGCTGCCCCAGCTAAGTGCTTGTACCCCGAACCCAGCCCAGAGCTCCTCCACCGCCCTAGCTCCCTCCTAGACCCTGCACCCCAACCCAGAGCCCCTCCACCACCCTAGCTCCCTCCTAGACCCTGCACCCCCGCCCAGAGCCCCTCCACCACCCTAGCCCCCTCCTAGAACCTGCACCCCAACCCAGAGCCCCTCCACCACCCTAGCTCCCTCCTAGACCCTGCACCCCCGCCCAGAGCCCCTCCACCACCCTAGCCCCCTCCTAGAACCTGCACCCCAACCCAGAGCCCCTCCACCACCCTAGCTCCCTCCTAGACCCTGCACCCCCGCCCAGAGCCCCTCCACCACCCTAGCCCCCTCCTAGAACCTGCACCCCAACCCAGAGCCCCTCCACCACCCTAGCTCCCTCCTAGACCCTGCACCCCCGCCCAGAGCCCCTCCACCACCCTAGCCCCCTCCTAGAACCTGCACCCCAACCCAGAGCCCCTCCACCACCCTAGCTCCCTCCTAGACCCTGCACCCCCGCCCAGAGCCCCTCCACCACCCTAGCCCCCTCCTAGAACCTGCACCCCAACCCAGAGCCCCTCCACCACCCTAGCTCCCTCCTAGACCCTGCACCCCCGCCCAGAGCCCCTCTCATTCATATGCAGAATGAATTTAGTGATGTGTGCCAATATGGAGGTGATGTATTGCATACCACCTCTGTCGCACGTCGCCTCCGTGTCCTCTCCACGGTGGTGCACATAACAACATTGGGCATAGGCAGTTAGAAGGAAGGCTGATCTGGTTACTGTGGCCAGCTCTGCAGCTGGCCTGTTGAGTGAGTCACTGTCCTCCATTCCTCAGTTTTCCCATCTGGGAAATGGGCACACCGATGCAGCATTTCCTCTGAAGTGCTTTGAGATCTGTGGATGGAAAGTGCGTCACGTCTGTAGTGCCCAGGCCCCTCCTGTGTAGTGCCCAGCCCCTGCTCCAAAGCCCCGAAGCAGGCGCCAACACTGAGTCCAAGCACTTGTCATGCCATAGGCTGGATGAGTGGGTAACCAGCGGGCCTTACCAGGCTGTGGCTGGGATTTGAACCCAGCTCTTTGGCGTTCCAGCCCAGGCCTTTATCCAGCAGGCGCAGCTATCGCGCAGCAAACTGACGTCCTGGCATACGCCCTTGGTCTGTATTTGTCGCTCCCGGTCCCATTTAGCTTTGCCCTGCTCCCAGGCCAGTAGATCAGACCCGCAGGTGTCTCTAGCTTGGCATCCCCCCTGTGTCGGATCAGATCAATGGTCCATCTATAGCAGCCGGGGCCCCTGGAGCTCCCTGGATCGGATCTCCTGGCGTCCCTGGGGGTTGGGATGGTGTGTTCAGTCCGGTAGGGATGCTGGCACCTCCCCCAGCCATTGCTCCTGCCCTGGGCTGATGCCGTCTTGGCCCTTCCAGGTGATGATCCGAGAGAAGAACCCGGACGGGTACCTGTCCGCTGCCGAGATCCCCCTCATCAAACTCTACCTGGTCATGTCCGCCTGCTTCTTGGCCGCGGCCACCGTGTGGGTCTACTTCCTCTGCCAGCACAAGTGAGTCCCGCCCCTCTGGGGGGCCGTGACCACCCCACTTTCCTGTCTGTGGTGCCCTGCCCCCATTCCGCCCCCACAGCTGCTGGGGCGTCGGCCTGATGGGGTCTCTCTACCTACAGGTTCAGCGTGTTCAAAATCCACTGGCTCATGGCTGCCTTAGCGTACACCAAGGCCCTCTCGCTCCTCTTCCACAGCGTAAGTAGATGGCTGGGCAGGAGGCCCGGCGGTGATGACTCGGTAGAATGGGCGCCCCGTGCCTCAGTTTCCCCATCTATGAAATGAAAATGATGCCACTTCCTGTGAAGGGCTTTGAGGGCTGTGGGTGAAAAGTGCGTCTTGAGCGAGGTGTTTGGATTGTGTCGTGCTTGGGTGTCCCAGCCGCGGGCCAAGATCTCGTTGCGCTAGGCGCTGGACACACACGAGAAGCTGGTAGAACCTGGTATTGCTGGACAGCTGCAAGCGTCACTGGTAACATGTCAGGCTCATGCTGACCCTTCTGAGCCTCAGCGGGCCTGTCTCTACGGGGTGAATTACACCCAGGGCTTGCTTGGGTGGTGCCGGGGAAGACGCTAGCAGAGTGTTAGCCGCAACCCAGCAGTTTGAAAAGCACCACCCGAAACGGAACCCGGTGAGCGGCCAAAATGCTGCCCCGCCTGGTCCTGGCGTTCTCTGCATGCAGGCAGGGACAGGTCCCACTGCCTCCCCACAAGCCAGGGCACCTCTGCCAGGACTCGGGCCCTTCTCGGAGCCCCAGGAATACAAGGGTGGCTCTTCGGCGTGCGGGGCTGAGACCCCTCGGACTCGTCTGGCGCACAGGTGGCGAGTGGCTCTGAGCCCCGCAGCTCCCTCGCCGGCAGATGGCCTGTGGGCGCGCTCCCAGCCTGAATCTGTCCTCTCCCTCTCTCAGATCAACTACTATTTCATTAACACCGAGGGGCACCCGATCGAGAGCCTGGCCGTCATGTATTTCGTGACCCACCTGTGAGTGCAGAGCGTTTGGTTATGGGGCTTGTGCAGGGAGACCCTCTAGACAGAGCCTGGCATCACAGCTGGCTCTGGGCAGCTTCCACTCAAAGGGGCGCCATGGGGGACGAGGGGAGCTTGCCACCACGAGGGGAGGCTGCAGGGGTGGTCTCGCTGCTGCAAGACTGGCAGGAGGCAGCCTGACATGCATTGCATGGCGCTGATCATGTCAGGAGATAGTGTAAGAGGGCTGGCTGTGGGCAGAGCCCTCTGCTACTCCAGTCCCAGCCTTGCCCAGCAGGGGGCGATATGTAGAGTAGGGCTAGAGCATTGCTGTGTGAGGGGCTCCAGGTTACTGCAGCCCCTGCCTCGTCCAGCAGGGGGCGCTGTGGGAGCAGGGGGGGGCGCTGCCTAGGTGAGGGGCTCCAGGTTACTGCAGCCCCTGCCTCGTCCAGCAGGGGGCGCTGTGGGAGCAGGGGGGGGCCCAGCCTTGCCCAGCAGGGGGCGATATGTAGAGTAGGGCTAGAGCATTGCTGTGTGAGGGGCTCCAGGTTACTGCAGCCCCTGCCTCGTCCAGCAGGGGGCGCTGTGGGAGCAGGGGGGGGCGCTGCCTAGGTGAGGGGCTCCAGGTTACTGCAGCCCCTGCCTCGTCCAGCAGGGGGCGCTGTGGGAGCAGGGGGGGGGGCGCTGCCTAGGTGAGGGGCTCCAGGTTACTGCAGCTCCTACCTTGCCCAGCAGGGGGTGCTGTGGGGGCAGGAGGGAGGGGCGCTGGCCAGGTGAGGGGCTCCAGGTTACTGCAGCTCCTACCTTGCCCAGCAGGGGGCGCTGTGGGGAGCTGGGGCAGTAGCGCCATGAAGCGGGCACCCTGGTTTCTTCAGCCCCAGCCCCTTGTGGCTCAGCGCGCCCCAGGCCTGCCCCGCCCCCCAGAACAGGGCCTGACGTGCCCCTGGCTGCCTTGGAGGCTGAAGGGCGCCCTGCTCTTCATCACCATCGCGCTGATCGGGACGGGCTGGGCCTTCATCAAGTACATCCTGTCGGACAAAGAGAAGAAGCTCTTTGTGGTCGTCATCCCGCTGCAGGTGAGCTGGGGGGGGCGGGGACATAGGGATCCAGCAGGTGGGAGGGTCCCGTACGCCCCATCCTGGGGTGCCCCCATCACCTCCCAGGGACACGGCAGCCGGATCCGGTTCCATCCGCTTTCCTTTCGGCCTCCCGGCGCCAAAGGGAGCGATTCAGGGGAGCGGTTCCCTGCAGGAAGCAGCGTCTGCTGGGCTAGAACTCGGGGAATCTGGGGTCTGCTCCCTGCTCCCCCCCCCTTGCCTGCTTGGTGACTTTGGCCAAGTCCCACGTGCGAGGTGGGGAACCGTGCTGCCCTTCCTCGTGCGCTCACGGGGAGATCTCCAGGAGGGAAGGGTAAAGAGAAGCCGGGGGCAGCTACGAAGCGGCTGCCGGGACTGGAAAAGTTTGGTGAAGTTAATGTCAAGAGCAATCGGTGCCGGTCGGGCAGAGTAACTCCCTGCTCTGCCCTGGCCTCCGGGCGGCATCCTGCGCCAGCCGGCGCTCGCCTTGGCAAGGGAGGGATACCAGGCACCTCGGGGGCAGGGGGGCTTGGGCAGCAGCAGCTAGTGCCCCA